ACAATTAATAATAACAAAAAATAAAACAATTAAAATACTGCTTTTCGTCAGATAATTTCAAATGCATTGAATGGGATTTGTTAGACGACAGTAATTGGACGTTGTTTCTTTCGAAGTTGTAAATTCGACGCACGTCTATGTAATTTTCAATTTGGAGATTCAGTGTTATACATACATACATACATACATGCAGGTGGAAGGAAGCGGCACACGTTTCGTGCCGCGGCCGGAAATTCGCGTTACAGAACGGCGGTGGTTTTAACCGTGAAATTATACATTCAGAAAGGGCGGCTCGTTGAATTCGAAATTCGTTTGCCGTTCAGCCTTTTATTCTTTCTCCTCCAATATGTAACCGCGCGCGACAGGATTAAAACCGTGAAGGAAAAATCGGCCGGCCGATATTGTAATCCGTGGCAACCTTTCCGTCCTTCCCAGGAATTAATTAATTCGTCTTTAACTGGGGACCTTCCAGCGGAATAAGAAGAATCCTTTCGTTCCTCTTTTTCCGCTAAAAAAAAGTCCGGGCTATATCGATCGGTATTTTATTAATTGAGAATAATATGAATTCGCTCCGATTCGAGCCGGCTACCCTTATACCTTTGTTCCATCATTCACTTTCCCTTGGCCCGTATCACCGATTCTTCCTCAGGACCCCATTGTTCGTGGCCACCCCCGTCCTTGGAACAGTCTTCGTATCAGAAGGTATTTCATAATTATGCTGCCTCAGAAAGTACCCGTTCTATTACCGGCGAAATTAAACTACTCTTACTGTCGACGCGACCGGATGGAAATTCGAAACGAGAAATGAGTCTTGGAATTAATTAACAGTAACTCATGTACAAAATTTCAATGTACAATTCATTCCAAATCTGGTTTCAAATTATTTTATATGTTCTCCTTCTCTAAAGGCAATAGTTCATATTCAAACAAAATTATTATATTAAAGCAAAGCTTAAAACGATTAATAATTTTTATTATTTCCATTCGTATTGACAAAACCTATGACAATTTTAGTTGGGATTTATTACAAGTTTACAGTAAACACTGTTAGATCGTAAACGACGTTTCCCTAAACGATTGGCGCGGCTTTGGCAGAGCTTTTTTGTATAAATTCAGCATAGCCAGCCGACCAAGAACACTTTTCGTACAACTGCGTTACAAACGTCACTGTCGTACGACTGCGTTACGACAATCTTGGAAACTCTTGAGTTCAATATATTATACACCCAGGGACAATCAATAAAGATTTCCTGAATTCATCTATACAGTCCACTTGTGTATACTTATTCCTATGTCGCCTACCCGTCGCGAACAACCGTCGACGCAACGACGCTGTTACAAACACTTTTACAAACAGGAAAGACATCAAATGAAGCTAATCAAGCTTAAGTAAGGACGTGTACTTATGCAGGGGATGTGTATCTGAACTTAACCCGTCTTCTGCAAACCGAACAAACCTGTTTGGAACGTTTCCATGCGATGATACGCTGACTTGTTCGCTCGGTTCGTACTATTCTGCATAACAATAAGATTGAACTCATTAGAAGTTTCATTAGTCTGTTTATTGCACCCAAACTTGAAGCACCAGTGACTAGAATCTAAACTTTGAAGCACCAGTGACTAGAATCTAAACTTTGAGGAACGTTATGTTAAGATAAAGAAAAAAGTATGTCGATCAACATGACACGTTATTATACTAAACATCATCAGCTCTGTTATTATTACTTTGTACAAAATTAATGAATTCAGCGTACATCTTTGGAAAGAGAAATGTGGTTGCATTGTTCCATATAATAATTAATTGATACCTTACACGTTGTCTTCCTAATTAAGGACGACATGGAACGCATCAGTATTTAAAAGGAAACGTGCAACGCAATCTTTCTGTGTAACAAAATCACAACGTTAATGAATGCCTGTCGGCAAATGTACAGAACTTAATTAATTAATATGGAAATCGGAACCGTCGCAAGGTGTTTAGTAATTTCTTTCGTCAAACGAATACTCTCCAAATATTAATGGGAGAACTTAAACAATTTCGCTTCTTAATTTTCATAGCTTGAAGTATAGAAAAGTTAGCAATCAATCAATTTCTAAATACCAAAGAAGTGTCGTTTCAAAAATGAGACACAGAATTTTAATTAAGGATGCATTGGCTATACAATATGTATAGTCAATACCAAAACTTTATGTACCTTAGAAAAACGCATTTCCTATAATTAAAAATAGTG